ATGATATGAAATAATGGATTTTTCAAAGCTGTACTTTTATAATTTCAAATCAAAAAAACCTCCCATATCGTGCGAGTCAAACAAATCTATTTACTCGGCAACTCTCCATGCATAGCAGCAATCAGCTGTTTAAAAAAAAAACAGACATCTGAATTTTACGATAAACTTAATTAAAATGCTTTTACCGAAACTTTTGGCCATCGAAGAACTACGGAGGCAGCCTATTATAATACAAAGCTTGCAGCGCAGGCTTCTCAAATGCGCATCGGACTCGTTTTCACGTTCAGACGATTTTTTGTGATTGTCTTCTCAAACTACTGCTAATTTAGTTCATTACAATTACAAGTTTTTGGTATAATGATCGCTATGCTTCTATTTGTGCTGCCATGGGTCTGAACTTAGCCGAACAGGGGTTTTCGACATAAATGCAATGGCAATAATGTGTAAAAATGGTTTGTTAGTTCTGTTTTGTCATTTTGAAGCGATGCCACCTGGTAGAACTACAAATGACTACAAATTTTTTCACAATTTGCACAAAAAGTATGCACACGTTTGACAAAAAGGAAGTTTCACTGCAATGAGCTTTTTTAGGTAATGCTTAATTAAAGAAAAACAGAATGCTTTCAATATAATTAATATTTAATATCATGCTCCGAACTCAGCTAAAAAAATGTGGCATTACTTTATTAACTTCGAAAGTCCGAATCGCCCTAGGTGGACACCTCGCACTGCAGCGGATTAAAAGCGGAATCGTTAAGTGAAAAATCAGTCAGCGGATTGGATAGTGATTTACTGAAATGCTTATTTTATTAACTTAACATGTATAATCTTTAATTATTTGGATGAGGGTTAATCACCAATTGAACAACTTTTATGGGAAAGTAAGATTCGAATCGTTTTGGGTGTGTTTTAAGGGTGTATTTAATCAAATCGCTGGATAAATTGTGAGCGATTTTGACTCCGCTGAAAAATTTGTGTGTGGCACCGCGGAATGGAATTGAGGTGATTTTCCAGCGGAAGTGATTTTTGTGGCACCCCTGTATATCTCTGAATGGAAAACTAATTATTAATCAATAAGAAAAAAATATTTAAAATAATGAAAATCAATCTGACATGCTATGCTTTGGTCATTGGGGCGATTGCAGAATTTTCAGTCGCTAATTTAAATCATGAAGAAACATCAAACAATAAAATTTTCTTGTTATTCATATGTCAAAAACCGAGTGGATCAAAGTTCCCCGTAAAATGCAACAATTCTGTGGCAGCCCGATTTGTTTATCGATAAATCTCTGCTAAATAAAATATACGCCTTTTTGTATGAGCTGGCACAAGAAGTAAATTTTGCGCTTTACAATACAGGGAGTCAATAATTCCAGAGCGCCTTGAAATGAAAAGTATGACTTTTGGCAAGAAACGCAAAATGAATGTGAAAACTAGAGCCTGCCTTCCTGACTCAAACGAATTCACCCGGCAGACCTAGCTACAAGGAAAATTGTATATTACCTAAAACTACCTGAATTGCACAACGCCCAGTAACACCCCCAATTGTCCCGTGCTTGTTTTTAAATAGAAATTTTTCCCAGTCCCAGGCATATCCTGGACTCCCCAATATTTTATTGGTAAGGTAATGTGTCTGACTACCAGCAGCAGCAGATGGCAACGCCTCCTCTGCCGACCACCGTGAAGACAAAATGTTTTGAAAACAATATCATAGATTAAAATTTCCATATAATTGTCATTCATACTGCATTAATTAGATTTTTTTGTTGTACGATTTCAATGAAGGGACAAAATCGTATGGTTAGACCTAAATAAATAGATAGCCATAAGCGCATAAGAATTCCCGCTGCCTAAAATAGCAAACGATGAAATGTTCTAAATAACACATATAAATATGTGATATGCACTACTGACCTAAATAAATATGTAAAGGCCAGCTTTATGCATTTGTATACACACACTAGTAAGATATTTTTAGCACTATCATAAAACACATTTTGGATGACCTGCATGTGGTCAAATCTCACACCATCTTTTTTTTTTTTTCTTGGGAAAACAACGTTTTAAAAAATTAATAGTAAGAATGATGGGTTGGAAGGGGGTGTGGGTGAATGGGTCCGTTACCGCGGGATTGCCGCTAGGCATTACTTCGCGGTGCGGACTGTGGGGTCATCAGCCGGATTTAGTCGGTCCTGCTTCGCTCCAGCCTGCGCAGCTCCTTCATCACGCATGCTGCCATGTTGGCGACCGCGTTCCGTGATCGCTCATCGGCTAGCATCTGCTCTGTAAGGGTGTCAACGTTGACTTCCGCTAGTGTCTCCCCTAGCCCCGCGAGAAGCGGGGGCAGGAGAAGAAAATATGCTCTGCATCCTCTTCGACTCCAGGCCCGCAGTAGCTGCAGTATGGGTTGTCAGCATGTCTAAAACGATGCAGGTACTGCTTGAAGCAGCCATGCCCCTTAATAGTTGGGCCATATAGTGGTCGATCTGGCCTCTCCGTCTCTGCAGCCATGTGCTAAGCTGGGGGATGAGCCGTCTGGTCCACCTCCCCTTTTCCGCTTGGTCCCAGCGTCCTTGCCTCAGGGATATGCTGCTCTCTCACCGCTCGCTGGCTACCGCCATTCCGCTTTGGCGCTCATCTGCCAGGAGATCCTGTGGGACCATGCCTGCTACAACCAGGGCGGCGTCTTCGGACACCGTCCTGAAACAGCATGCAACCCTGAGTGCACAGCGTCGGTATGCGCTCCTGCTCTCTTTGCTATAAGTAGGCACCCTCATTGCTGGTGCCCGCACAGCTGACCCATATAGTATAATGGAGGTGACCACACCGGCGATGAGCTGTCTGCTGCGCTGCCGTGGTCCACCAGTGTTGGCCATCATCCTGCTTATGGCCGCCGTTGCTGTAGCTGACTTCGCGCTGGCGTATTCCAGGTGTGCCTTGAAGTTTAGCCTGTGGTCTACCTAGGTACTTTAGGGCTGGTTTGGTCTGTATTGCGACGTTACCTACCCTCACGCATGCCTCTTCTACTTTCTTCCTGCTACTTATTAGCACCGCTTCCGTTTTTCTTTCAGCCAGGGAAAGTTTGTTCTGTGCGAGCCAGTCTACTATCTTCGCGATAGCTGCGTTGCAGTTCGCTTCTGCCTCTTGTACTCCCTTCGCTACTGTAACGAGCGCTATGTCGTCAGCGAATCCGACGAGCGTGCACCCATCTGGTAGTGCGAGCCTCAGGATGTCATCGTACATGGTATTCTACAAGATCGGCCCTAGGACCGAACCCTGTGGCACACCGCCGGTGATAGTGTGTATTTTTGCTTCCTCGTCCGTGTCGTATATGAGTACGCGGTCCGTGAAGTAGCTCCTCAGCGTCCGTGTAAGGTACTGCGATATGCCCCTCCGTGTCAAAGCCGCGAGTATACTGCTACAGCTGGCTGTATTGAAGGCATTCCGCACATCTAGCGTGCATATCAGGCAGTATTTCTTGGTGCCTCCAGCCCATCGCGTTCCTGCAATGGCTTCTTTGGCCAGTCTGGTGACCATCTCAACAGCGTCTATGGTGCTCCTCTTCTTCCGGAATCCGAACTGGTGAGCGGAGAGGCCTTGGCGCTCTGTCAGTTCCGCCTCGAGTCGGTTGCATACCAGTCTCTCGAATATTTTCCCCATACCATCTAGCATGCATAGTGGTCGGTATGCCGATGGTTCGCTTAGGTCCTTGCCTGGCTTGGGTACAAGCACAAGAACAAGCCTCTGGCGTTTCCAAGCTCGTGGTACTCTCCTTTCCGCTATACACTGGTTGTACATTCTCGTGAATGCTTCCGAGTGGGCGCTGACTAGGCATTTGCTGCTGCCTTCAGCACCTCAGTCACATTAATGATGGTGGCTGCATGATCGACGTCTTCGTCGCAGTCCTCATCTTGAAATGTTGGTAACCGGGAAAAGAGGGCGTCGACTATTTCCTTCAACTGGGTGGGGCACTTGGGCATAGTTTGTCTATTGAGCTTTCCCATGACCAGCTTGTATGCCCCACCGAAGGGTTCGGCATCTGCCGCATCGCAGAGCTCCTGGAAGCATTTAGCCTTGCTGCTTCTAATGGCGTCTTTGAGGGCTTTCCGTTTGGTCTTGAATGCCACTCCGTTGCAACCAGACTGCAGGGTACCTCTAGATCGCTGGTAGGCGCGCCGGGCCGCGCAGCACTCCCTCCTGACTTTCGCGATGTGCTCGTTCCACCATGGTACTGGGCGGTGCCTGCTTCCTCCGATCTTCCTTCCCTCCATGGCTGCATCACATGCCGCTATGACGGTCCTGGAGATGGCGCTCGCACATGCTTTGGCGTCCCCAGTGGCTGTTAGGCTTTCTGCTGCAGAGAGGAGCGCGCCTCTGTCGAGTGTTCCTTCCTTGTAGCCTGTCTGTACTGCTCTTTGGCTCCTGGCGGTGTTCCTGGTAGCAGAGATGTCCGTCAGCACCGCTAGGTGGTCGCTATGAGTGTACACGCTCAGCACTTGCCACATGGAATGGCGTGCGATCTCCGGGCTTGCAAAAGTTATGTCGATGATAGACTCACGACCTGCCTTGCTATACGTCGGGGCGCTTCCTGTGTTTAAGAGGCAGATGTTTACGCTTGCGAACTCGTCCAGAAGCGCTGTCCCTCGATCCGTATTCCTGGCACAGCCCCAGGTCGTGGCCCATGCGTTGAAATCGCCCGCTAGCGTGGCGCTATGTAGCAGCTGTATGCATACATGCCCTTGTGCTTGGCTCTTGCGTAGCCCACCCTGTAATGACCTATCTCAGGCTGAGGTATGCTTCAGTCTGTCCAGGGTCCTGAATTACAAGTTATTTATAATTCGCAGGACTTTATTTGGGAAAACCAGCAACTTTGCCAGCAACTGAAAATGGGTTAGCGAAATCACAACACTCTTGGTTACTTGACTTTTAACAGATATCTTTATTCTTCCGTATTATTATTCTACCCGGTTGTGTTATGTATTATGTTATTTTTAATTGTTCTACGACGCGTATGGTGGTTCGGGGCTCTTCTTTGGTGCAGCTGGTCTGGTCGGTGTGCGGGGGTCGCCTTGGTGTCGATGCCCTGCCGGCCTACGGGTGAAAAGCGGGGGGCTCTTCCGCCCGGGTGGTGCTGTCTCCGGTGCCGGGGCTGGGGGCCACTCCTCGGCGTTGTGCGGCCTTGGCGAGAACGACGGCGTGGCCGGCCTTGGGGAGGTGTTGGCGGTTGGGGTCCTTGCCCTTGGTGGGGGGGACCATAGATTCTCCCGTCGGAATCTATGGTACTGGGGCTCCTTCTCGTCTTCCTCGGTGCCGGTGGTGGTGGCCTCTGACTCCTCGTCAGAGGAGAATACGATGATATCGTCGTTGTTGTTGTTTGTGTTCATTTTTTTTTTCTTAGTTTTTAAGTTGCAGCTTGTTGACTTCCTTCCCGGGTATGTTTGGTCGTACTGGTGGGCACTACCGTTTCACATACTGATGTTACCTCGGTCTCCTGCCTGCCGCCTGCGGCAGCATTGTTGGGTGGCGCGTTCCCTGACCCGGTGGTCGTGGGGCTGGCCTTACTCGGGTGGCCGCGTCTGGTTGCGAGGTTCGTGGGACTTGTCAATTCTAACTCCAGCCAGGTGGAGTCGGTTTCGCGAGCTGTGGCCTCGGGGTCTGTAGGCGTCGTGTTTTGGGTTCTCAGCCGGTGATGTAGGACCCAAATGGTTACGCAGAGTGGAAATGCGATGCTTACCGTGAGAATATATGCAGTAGCACTTCTGATCGTCAGCACTCCTTGCAGGTGGCCGATGTGCTTAAGGTTTTTCAGGCTGAGTTCCCTCAAGAAGGGTAGACTCAGCTGCTCTCGATGTGACGTCACATTCACCTGTGTCATCGCGGACACCACGGCTTTTCGTCGCGAGTCCCCTAGATGGTTTACATACCAGGTCCCATTTAGCGCGATCGGGTGGGAATACGTCACCAGATAGGTTCCAGAGATGTTCTGTCGAGCGCCAGTCTCCTCCAGAATGGTCACTTGCGCGTCGTTAATGATGATGGTTCCATGATCCACGGGGCTGATTGGCTCTAGATGCCCTGGCAGCGTTGCGCAGTGGGCGATGGACCCTGCCATTATCTGCTGGGCGCAGGTGTTCCCTTGATATTTCCGGCAAAATGTTGCGCCGACGGTAGCCTCGCAGTCGCCAACTTTGACGGCTTCTGTTCCATATTCTGCTACGATGTTTCCCTCGCCGAAGTCCAGTATTTTCCGTTGGTGTTGTACTGGCAATATAAGTATTTTTCGGCATGTTCGTTTGGGCTGGGGGAACTTTATCAGGAACGTGAGTAGGTCGCTGCTCTGTAAGACGCTGACTTTTGATACTACCAAAAGTTCTACCAAGCTGAGGTTGGTTAGATGCTGTGCCTCTAACTCTTGGATGTCGGCGCCGTCTAGTAGGGATGGACTGATTATCTGGATCCGTGCCAGAGTTAGGCCGAGGATGAGGTTTTCCAGATCGGTGATAATAATTCTGTTTTTAGCCAGAATTATCTCCACCAGTTGGTTTCTCTCGGCGTCGTCGGATTTGTTTATAGTGTTCATGTAATGGGTCAGCTCATTTAGGCGGTCCTGGATCTTGGTGTTGATCTCCATCTGGTTGGGCTCTCCTTCCACTAGTTGGCCTTGTTTAAAGCGTACCTGCTCCCAGTCGTTGAAGTCGGGGGTGCCGGCGATAACTTTAAGGGCCGTCCCGAGGATGTTGATGCTCCGCCTTTCTCGATGGTGGATTTTTAGCGTAGCGATTAGGTTGCGGATGTGGCTGTTGGTTGGGTATTTCGATGGGCGTTGAATTAACGGTGGGTTACTTGTAGAAATGTCTTTCGCTCGAATTAAGAAGCGAACTGATTTAGTACCGGGAGAACTCAGCTAAATATAGCGTTTTCCCTTTCTTGATAGGGCCGTTGCGGCTATGTACGGGACTTTTCTACGAACCGGGCTCGGGTTTCGCCTTAGCGGGTTGAGCGACACTTTTCCAGGTTATTGGTGGTATTTTGCTATGGGGATGATCGCCGTTCGATGTCACGTGTGCTGAGTCCTCGGATTTTTCCGTCTGTCGGCCGCGCGTGTGCTGAGGTTGAAATTTATTTTTCTTTGTTTTGTCTCTTGCTGTGGATTTTTGTTGTATTATGGTGGCGCATGTGCTGAGTTTTCATTTCTTTGGGTGTTGAACTTGTCATTTGAGAGCGTTCGTTACTTCCGTTGTGGTGGGGGTTGGTTATTGGCTGCGCGTGTGCTGCGTTCTCGCTTTTAGATTCGTTAGCTTTGGCTGGTCAGCTGCCAATGTATGAAACCAAGGTCGTAGCTAGAGGGATTTCGGGGGGCTAGTGGTAGTATTTGCCTCGTCGGTTGCATCCCTGTCCTCGTGGAATTCCTTCAAGTCGTTGATGTTAGCAACCTTCGATTTTCGGCTGCCCGGATGCTGTAGTTTTACAATGTTCGGTGATGCAAAACCTTTGACTCGGTATGGTCCATCGTATTTTGGTGCCAGCTTAGCGGCGAATCCGTCGGCCGCGTTGGAGAGGTGGTGTTGTCGTAGGAGTACTAGGGATCTAATAGTGGGGCGCCATTGCCGGCGGCGGAGGTTGTAATGCCTTCCTTGTTCTTGGCTTGCACTTTGGATGATATTTCTGACAATTGTGAATACTTCGCTGAGTTTGGTTGCCTTGCCGAGAGCTTCCGGTGCCTGTCGTGACTTCGTCATAGAGGGCTCCAGGCAAACGGGGCTCTCTTCCATGCAGTAGGAAAGCTGGGCTAAATCCCGTTGTCTCCGAGACGCTGGAATTTACTGCGAGTGATATTTCCGGTAGTAGCTCGTCCCAAGTATTTTGACGATCCCCTACGAATTGGGCAATCTTGGTCTTGACCGTCCGATTTGCCCTTTCCGTTGGATTTTCCTGGGGGCAGTATGGTGCGGTAAGTTGCAGTTCTACTCCTGCTGTCTGTAGAAATTACCGAAACGATCGGCTTTTGAATTGCGTGCAGTTGTCGCAAAAAGCGTTTGGGTATGCCGAAATGGCTCAGTATTCGTTCTCGAAAAGCCAGTTTCAGGGTAGCGGTGGTGGCCTTTTTAAGTGGTACCAATTCGACCCACTTCGTGAAAGTGTCAAAGATGACGAGTAGCATCTTGTTTCCCTTCTTCAATCGAGGTAGTGGTCCAACGAAGTCAGCGAATAGTGTGGCGAATGGCTCTTCGGCATTGCGAGTGAGCATCTGGCCCACCGGCTTGCGTTGTTGAGCTTTGAACTTCTGGTAGCTTACACAGCCGCGGACATATTTCCTAACCTCCCGGTAAAAACATGTCCAATAGTACCGTTGGGATATTCGGAAGATGGTTTTCCTGACTCCTAGGTGGCCGGCTGTTGGTTGGTCGTGGCATGCGTGGAGGATTTTGGCTCGCTGATCTTTTGCTACGCAGAGTTTCCATGATACATAGTCGTCTTCCTCGGCGCCATGGCCCAGGTGCCGATATAATTCCCTGTTGGCGTAAGTGTAGTCAGGGCATTTCTGAGGCTCGTCCTAAACTTGTTGTATCCTGCGCTGGAGCCAGGGGCAGGCTGTCGTCTCTTCTTCGACCCGTGCGAGTGTTCTTAATGGTTGCCTGGATAGGGTATCTGCAACTACGTTTTGTTTGCCCACTTGATAATGCACATCTTATTGGTATTGCTAAAGTTCGAGGGCCCATCTCGCCACTTTACCGTATAGGCTGTCAAGCGTATTTAGCCATTTTAGCTCGAGATGATCGGTGATTACATCGAATCGGTAACCTTTCAAATAGCAGCGTTGTTTCCGAATGGCCCAAATGACCGCCAGGCACTCCTTGTCGGTAGCGGAGTAGTTTTCTTCCGCCTGGTTCAGTCGTCGGCTGACATATGCTATGACTCGTTCTTTGCCTTCGATTTCTTGGGTGAAAACTGCGCCAACTCCTAGATTGCTCGCATCTGTTTGCAGCGAGAACTTGACGTTGAAATCGGGGCCCGCAAGGACGGGGGCGGTCGTGAGAAGTGTCTCCAGTAGGTCAAAAGCAGCCTGTTGTGCTTCGGACCATATCCATGATTTTCCCTTCTTGAGTAGGCAGGACATCGGTTCGACGACTGTCGCGAAGTTTGGTACAAATCTCCGGTACCAGGATGCCATCCCGATGCATTGACGAAGTTCTTTCAGGTTCGTAGGAGGCCGGAGTTCTTTGACGGCGGCAATTTTGTCGTGGTCGGTATGGATGCCTTCTTCGCTGAACATGTGGCCCAGATATTTGATCCGGCTTTGAAAGAAACTGCATTTTTCCGAATTTATACGTAGATTTGCTCTTCGTAGTCGAGAAAAAACCACTTCTAGATTGTGTAGGTGTTCATCAAAATCTCGCCCAATGACGATAATATCATCTAGGTAAGCAAATGCGTGGGGTTCCATATCGGCGCCAATTACTTTGTCGAGGGCCCTCTGAAACGTTGCCGGCGCTGAATGTAGTCCAAAAGGCATCACTTTCCATTGATAGAGACCTCGGCCTGGTACTGTGAAAGCCGTTGCTTCTCGACTTCCGTTTGTCATTGGTATCTGCCAGTATCCATTCTTAAGATCGAGAGTGGTGATAAATCCTGCGTTTTGTAGACGTTCCAAGATGTAGTTGATTCTGGGCAATGCGTACGCGTCCGGGATGGAATGTTCGTTGAGTTGTCGAAAATCCACGCACATGCGCCATTTCCCATTCTTTTTACGCACGAGTACGATTGGCGCGCTGTGAGGGCTACGGGAGGGCTCGATGAGACCTTCCGTTATCAATTGGTCCACTTGTTCGTCAATGATTCGCATCATGGCCGGGTTTTTAGGATGGTATTGTTTCTTGATGGGTCGATTATCCCTCATGACGATGGTATGCTCGGCAATGTCTGAGGTGCCATGGAGGGTAGCGAACTTCGGTAGCTCTTCGTCCAGAAATGCTTGAATTTGTGGCGCTATGTCGGGTGGCCAAGGATCCGGGGCTGGTTCTGACTCGTCTTCGATCTCGGGGTCAAAGTGTCGGTTCGGGGCTTCGGGTAGGATGGTGGTGTCAAACGCGCTGGGTGGTTTGATTCTGTGGGGGAGCTCGCTGATGTGGGCGACAATAGGTGTGGTATCGACCATGGGTACGATATTTTGGTAGGTCGGGTGTAGTACTCGTGTTATACTACAGCCAGACTCGTACGTGAAAAGGTTGCGATGAGTTGCGATGACGCCTCTGGTATCGCAACAACGACTTGATTGGGCGGATCTCGGACATGGCTTTAGGCATGGCTCGGTGCATGGCGCTAAGAATCATGTCGGTACGCGGAAGGTACTCCAATGGGTTGGCGAAGATCTGTGTGGCGTCGG